TGGAAACAAGGCCTAAGCGATTCATGGAGTGTAACAATCAACGGCTAGAATATAGATTTTATTTTAGCATGGATGTATAGATAGGAAGAAGATTGAAATAAAATAATTTTAGGAAGGATTGGGAGGCAGAGAGAAAAAGGAACCTGACAGGTAAATTACAATACAAAAAAAAATATCGAGTGTCTGAGTGGCCGGATTTCCGATCAAAAAGTTATGGTAAATATGGCTAAGCGGCATGCTCCAGTGAGGGAGCGGGAATTTATGCTGCTTCTAGGCCCAAATTATGGGACGAGGGGTTGATGCCTATTGTATGTGTGAGTGATCGGATCTCCGATCAAAAATTTTGGTAAATGTGGTTGCAAACCGTGCTCCAATGAGGGAGCGAGAATTTATGCTGCTTGTAGGCCCAATTTATGGGTCGAGGGGTTGATGCTCGTGTGTGTGAGTGGCCGGATCTTCTGTCAAAAATTTTGGCAAATATAGCTGAATGTCGTGCTCCAGTGAGGGAGCGAGAATTTATGCTGCTTGTAGGCCCAAATTATGGGTTGAGGGTTGATGCCCCGGAATGAAAAACTGGCTGAATAATATTTATGTATATAGAAATTGTGATTGTGTGGGTGCGTATGGCTATATGCTTGATTTTGGTCCTATGGGGTCGTTGTTCTTAATGGTTTATTATGGAGATTTTGTTGGCAGAACGTGGAACATAAAGAGGGATTCGGTGAGAGACTGGGAGGGTATCTGATTACTGATGTGTTTCAGGGAGTGTAAGGAGTTAATGAATATGGTTTTCTGGGTAAAAAAGGATGGGGACATTGAAGTTATAGTGCTGAATAGGAACTGGACAAGCTTGTGTAAGAAGGAGACTTGGGGATAACTGAGGGAGTGTTTGGGGTCATAAGTAGATAGGTTAGAGGAAATTTATAGAAGCGGAACATATCTCTGAAAAAAAACAAAATGGGGTTGGAGGGTACAAAAGAGTGCTTATGAAACATATTAGACGAGTTAGGAATCCCGGTGAAAGGATAACAATTTTTGTGTTACAAAGACAAAATTAACAAGGAGATTAAATGGACACTGAGTTGTACCACCATATTTAGTTGTAATATATTTTTCTCTAATTTGTTTAGTGTGATGTGCACATGCTACTTACTGGGTGATGTAGCTCATAATAATGTATACTTTTAGAGCAGGTAAAACGGGAAACAAGAGCCAGAAGAACAAGAGTTATGCTGGCAAACTTAAGCACTTGCAAGGAACTTTCCTCGTCGTTACGTAGGTCGAATAATTGAGAATTAGTTATAAAATATGATCGATATCATTGTGTGTAGGAGGAAATACTTGTACTTTTGATCCCTGCTTTAGTTGAAGGGTTTTCCTTGTATTGTTTTTTGCTGATACAGCTTTGTAGAGATGTGAAACATATATATATTTACTTGATTAATGATACGTAAAATAAATATTCTTAGAATAATATTCATGAATCAGAGTGGTATTATCAATCCGTTTTATAGATGGCATTATGAACAATAGTAATTCGATGAGCGACAGCCGGTCCTGGATTGTTAAAGTATATTCTGAAGCCCAATTAAAATATGCTTATTAGTTCTACTTTGAAATTTCATATAAATTTAATTTTTCTAATTTTTTAAAGTGAAATTTAGGTCATATTCTAAGTAAAATACATATAAAATTTCAAAAATTCATTTAATCTGTTGGAAATTAAACGTGCCTAAGAAATGAAAATGTTAAAGAAAAATAATTAAAACGCACATCATATAAAAAACTAATTAATCCCCACTTTTCACTGTCCATCCTCGAGGGCTTATACAGCCAAAGCCACGGCTTAGGTACCCAATACATGTTACATATACATTGGAACAACAGAAGAAAAAGAGATTAATAATAATTATAAAGAATTAATAGATAAAAGATATATAAACCGTAAAAATCCCAGAAAAAAAAGAAAAAAAAAAAAAGAAGAGAAAGAGAAAAATGGTAGCTAATTAAAGAATAATGTGGGCATGCATGCAAATAACGTGAATTAGTCTCTGAGTAGCCTGTCTGCTTCCTTTCTCTTTTCTCTCAAATCCTCAAAGCTCCATTCCCTTCTCATTCCAACACTCCTTTCCAACTTTGGTTCAGCGGAAGTTTCATATCCAACAACTCCGGTAGATGTATTTAACCTGCGATGGCTTCTTTTAACCTTTCGACTCGAAGTAACCAATAAAGATCCACTTTTCATTTTTTTGTAAACTGGAGGGGTTAAGTTTCTTGACCAGTTTCTCTCTGTCTTCTCATAATATAGATTTTCTACAACTTGATCTTCCTCATCAATGGTGTTATTGTCGTATTCTCGATCCGAGTCTGTTCTTAGCAAGGTTTGACAAGTTAGACAATTTAGACTCATGGTTTATGAGAGTTTTGAGAGAATCTGGCAAGAATTATTATCTCGTACTATGATGAGAAAGGGTTGAGTTTTCTACATTGAAGATATATTAATGGCAGATCAGGTAACATAGAAAATGGAGAGGTAGTATTTTTACAGATGTAATTTTGGATCAATACCTTTTTTGTTTTGTAGGAAACATAACAGCCGTATATAATTATCTTAAATTTGGATACTATACTGTTACGAATAATTAATCCCCAACCAAACACACCTAAACCAATTATTAAATAAAGCCACATCTACAGCTCGGAATGACTTTGCTCTTCACCATTATTCTAATTCACTTCCTTTTTTCGGTTCTCTCTCTTTCAAAGAACACTACGATCATTGACCATTAATTATTATTAGGTGCTAGCTTTAGTTGTAAAATTCTATTTATATATATATATATATTATATTTTTTGTTAAAAGCTATTATTAGACAAAAGATTAAAATCAAGTGGTATATTTATAAAAATCTTTAACTTCATACTATTAATTATTATTATTATTATTATTTTTTTCAATGGGCGTGCATGAAATATTTTTCTCTTCCAAATGCATGCATAAAAGTCATAACAAGGTCAAGTTGGTGAAATATAGCGGGATGTACATAATTATGATTTTAGTAACATAATTATGACAATGAAATACTAGATTAATGCATTGCATGCAATCTTAATCCACTGTAAAACAATATTTTATTTTTTTATTTTTATAAAATATTAATTATTTCTAAAATTAATTTAACATAAAGTTACTCTAAATATTTTTTTTTTAATTTATGTACTTTGATTATATACTTAATTAGTATGACATAATAATTAGTACGATACAATGAATATAAATAAATAATCATGGTACATAATTCACTTAATTATTTATGTGTACTAATTTAATTTAATTTAATTTAATTAATGTATAGATACATCAATGTTGTATATTATATATACATTTAATTAGTATATATATGCATTGTATATCATGCTTCAATTATCACATTTTTAGTAATTACTAGGATATATTACTTTAAACTAATAACATTTTAATTTATATCATATTTTTATTTTATTTATTTTCATGTAAAGACAGTATTTTAAGTTTATAAGTACTTATAGATTATCTATATTGTATACCATATAAATGAAATAATTTGGTTTCACCAAGGGGCGGATCATTAAAAAGGGAACCCCGTCGTCCTCTCCCAAATATTTTAAGATACTCATCTTATTACATTTAAGTCCAGATTTTATCTTCTTATTTTTAGAAAACAACGAAATACAATTTATTAATAAATATTTGTAAAAACATACTAAAATTTAATTACTCTGCAATTAATTTAATTTTTAATTTTTTTTTTATTTTTAGAATTTCATTCCATGAAACTAGACAGGTGAGACAATTATCTTGCAACAAAAGGGGGGCCAAAAGTGATGGCAGCTCCCTAACCAAAAAGTTACTACGAGATTCTAAAGGGCCATATGAGCAAGAGCATGAGCAACAACATTATGATCTCCAGAGGTTCAATAAACATAAATGTAAGTAAAAATATAATAAAAAATTTAAAAATTATTAACAACTAAACCTAACTCTGACCATAGATTAGCTTAAATCACTGGGAGGGAGTCACCTTCAATATGGATACATCGAAAACCCTCTTGTTACCACTATCGTCGATGCATTATCTATCTCCTTAACTACTTGTAGTTCACTTATTTTCTTCTATACCTTTTGAAGCAATTCATGTGGTGAGATCTAAATTCCCTTATGCACCCACTAATTTCAGCCCCACTAAATTTCCCATATAACGTAGCAAACTATGTCAAAACATGTGGATGAAAAGTAGAGAACGAGTAAATAGCCACTCACCGAATTCCATATGGTTATTAGGAGTATGACGAAGCGGACTACATTTTCATACATATTCAGCATAAATACACTTTCCCATAAGTGATCAATATGCTCAACGGGATCATCATAGATGGGACAATATGGGTCCACCTAAAGACCTATTTGAAACAACTAACCATGTACTGGTAGGATACCACAAACCATTCTTCAAAACCAGATGTTTAACATGTGGCATTGTTTTTCTAGTCCATAGCTTCTTTCAAGTAATTTGTGAACTCACGGATATAGAGATTGTTGAAGAATTAAAACAGACTCATTAACTCGATTGTGACTAGATTTAACACTATATACCCTATTTTTTTCATGGGCCTATATGGGTGTACTCGATGACAAGCAATAACTTAAAGGTATGTTAATAACTTAATTTACCTAGTGATACGCAATAACTCACTAAGTCAATATTCCTTATAGGCAAACCGGAAATGAGAAGATCAGCCACCCTTGCAACATCTATATCATGTGGTCTACTTTTCTCAAGGTCAAAACTAGTAGCCATTTTTCCTTTTATATATTCACTGTTTGTCTATTCCCTCCTCCAACAATTCTCTCCTTACTAATAAGCTCCTCCATGTATAGTTAGAACGGGGACCACGCTTTGCATCCAAAAAATCTCTAAATGGAAAATACTTAGCCTTCAACAACTTAACAATAAAAAGTGTTGTTTAGTAAACAACCTCCAAGTCGTTTTTTTCCAATATAGCTTTAACATCAACAAACATTTTGTAAGGATCAATTAAAGAATATATTTACTCAAATAATTGTGTTGAAGAGAGGATATAGATGTATATCAAGGGGTCAATCCTTTGCACATCAATTTTGTGTTTTCTCTCTCTACCTCTTGCTCATTGTTTCATTTATTTTCATTGTATTGCATTCATTGAACTTAAAGCTAAATTAATTACTTCACACGTAGCTAGTTAACTAGACTTAATATTTTAGGGGATATATTGTTATTAGAATTTGAAACTAACTTATAAATTTGTAAAAATGTGAAGAAATATAATTCACCCCTCTTTTTGGCTTAGTTAGTCATTTGGGACAACACAATGGAATAGTAATGTATTTATGATGAGGTCGTAATAATGAAAAATATTGATTTACCTTATTCATTAATGTACTAGGTCATAGGATCATTATGACATAAACATTACTGGGTCTTGATATATTTATTAGCATCACACATACATGTCATAGTGTTTAATCTTATTAACTATCATAGTTGATGGTATGCTAATTATAAAAGTGTTTGTTGCATGAATTGGTTTACTATATTAGCTTAATCTTTCGAACTTTAATAGATACTTATTTTAAGTCAAATAAAAGTCTAAATATAATAGTTCTATTACAATTGGCTTATAAAAGATAAGTCATACTTTAATACTAAGAGAACATAATTGCCTTCATCATAACCACATTTATCATTGATGATGGCTTGAATTTTACAAAGTGATGTAAGTTGTAATAAAGGATCTTTTATCCTCAATACAGGAGATATATTGTATATGTATATCATCTAGATAATCTTGAAATCCATGGTCATGGTAGACTAAGAAAAGAGTTTCAAGAAAAAAAAATGATTTACATGCATATTTATAGAGATTGTCTAATAAGACCCTATGTCCTAAGTCATTGTAGTAAATAACATATGAAAGGAAAATATTTTGGCAGAAGTGCTTGATGAACATGTTCTTAAGTTTTGGAGTGAACTTCATCTTCTTTTAGAGTTCATTATATTGTCGCTAAACGTCACTTTTGGTGTATAAATTCAATAAAACTCGTTAATGTAATAGATGATTTTATTGACATCAATAAGATTTAATTATACAACTATTACTAGCTCTGTATTGAACCTAATATCTCACAAGCTCAAAATCTATAGATAAAAACTCTAATTATTATGTTTCTTAAAAAATATTGGGCTTTTAATTTGTTTTTAATATTTTCTTGGTCTAATCTTTGAAATCTCGATGAAAGGTTGATTCTTGCTTGATACTTGAATTAATCTTGAATATTATCAATTCAATCTCAATGAATCTTGAAAAAATATTGAATCTTAAGTTTTAATCTTGATTTATTCCTAACTCTTGATGAATCTTAAAAAGAATGTGTCTAGGTGAATCTTGAAATTAGTTAACTGGATTAACAAATTTTTATTAAATTAATAGATTCAAATAAGCTAAGTTTGTGACATAGGGCTCGTATGGAAAACCAATTTATTAACTAAAGACTAATTAGTTTAATGCAATTAATCAATGAAGTGTATATATTAAGGCCTTAATGAACGCCCTTATGAAGTAAAATTAGGCTGCGAATTTTAATTAATGGAATCTTTAATTAAATTGGTCATGGTTTATTTTAATCAATTTAAATGAGCTTGGATTAATATTATTATTATTATGAGTAATTGCAGGAGGCTTTGGGAAGTTAATTATGCCCACAATTAGCAGTTAGCACTTAAAAGGAAGATAAGAGGATTCTATTTTTACATATAAAAATATAATTAACTTATTAATTAACTACAAATCATGCTTTTATATAACTTTTAAGTAAAAAGTAAAACTGATTAATTTTTTTTTTTTAGATATAAATAAAAGTTTTATTTTTAATTACTTACGAATTACGCACTATATAATTAATTTTTAAAATTATAACATGTGTGTAACACGAAGCAAAGATATAATTTTAATTTAAATTGTCATTTAATATTTAATAAAGTAGTAAACATATGTCTAAACCTAAAATGAGAGACTCAGTACAAATAAAAAGGTTCCTTCCAAGAGTTTTCATAAACAGATGCTTGAAATTTGTTTTTCACTTTCAAATTGGTTATATATGGGACTCTCATTAGGCTCCCTCATGATTAGATGCTTGAAATTTATATACATTTTGTCTTAGAAAAATTAGTTTAATATGTATACTATAAGATTTGGAATTTGAAGATCTCTAAAGGACTTAATTTCAAAAAGTATATATGATTGCTTTAGCTTTTAGAGTAGTATGTTTGGTTAGTTAAAATACATGCTAAGTTATACTAAGATTAAAATTAGATAATAAAATAACATTTGTAT